TGTGTAGAAACAAGCCTCCAACTGCTACTTCAGAGGGATGTGAATCTTCTGTAGGTCTTGTGTCATATCTGCCAGTCTCAGTGGATAGCTCACATACCTTAGGATATCTAAAATGTCACTAGACACCTATATTTAGGCACCTGGATAGCATCCACTAGGACCAGTATCCTTCTGAAAGTCAGTGTGGCCTTTAAAGAGTACAGAATAAAGAGGATCCAAGTAGTTCATGAAAGAAGAGCATGTGGAATCGTAAACACAATGCCATATATACCAAGATGTGAACAATAATAGATCCTTTCTGTTTGGATCTTTCTGTTATGTGCGTTCTGCACTGCGATCAAATCAATCTGGGAATCATTCCTGTAGGCTTCTTTATTTTGCCTAGAACTAGATCATGTCAAAACCCAGCGATCATATTAAGCGACCCATACTAATTCCTTTTGAAAAAAGCTCCAGACGGCCAAACTTTGATGTGAACTACACCAATATAAATCCAGGCTTATTGCATGGGAATCAGTAGTATGGGTGTAACTCAGCTAACAACACTCTCTGGCGAAAAGGGCACAGCATTTGGCACAAAATAAGGAGGACAACCTATGTGACTGGGTGAAGCCATAGCAAATCAGAGTCACTGTTAGAACTTTCAGGATTTGAATGCAGATACTTTTAGTTTGGGGATCTTGATTCACATCACTACCTTGAAGCTGGAGGGAGCTGAGCACAAGCAGATTGGTGCCTAGCAAAGATAGAACAGGGTATTAAGCACAAACTAAGCAGACAAAAAGTTAAGTGCTTTGCTGAATTAGGGCTGAAGCGCTCCATATCTTGCAGGACCATACTCTAGAACAGACTGGGTTGTAATGATATATCATTGCGGCCTAAAGAGAGGCTTTGTACTAAGAGCAAATACTTGTGCACTCATAAATACAATCACTGTGGCTTATTAATGAAGTTTGAACCAAAATCCGTAGAGGTCGAACGTGTAATCACCTGCTACATAAGTGAAAAGACTCATTCTGTTAGCGGCAAAAAAGGAACACACTGTTCTACTCATTGAATTCTGCAGCTAGTTTCTGTGCACTAGGAAAGAGAGCATATATAAAAAATCTGAATATGTATTGACTTTGCTACTGTTGTCACCCCTCAGAGGCTTCAGCTACTCTTTGCCTTTAACCTCAAATTCCAAAGAGTTCAGATTGCAAAAACCCTAGCACCAAATGGCTCCTTTCAACCTAAACGAACTAAAAGGAGCCCTGGAAATTATACAAGGGTTGTACTATATTCATATTTCTGTGTGCTTCTTTAAGGATTCCTGCAAGTATTGCTCAAAATCTACAAGACTGAATTGCCCACATGATTGTTATAAATAGGCACCAGAAGTATAAACAAAATGGGTACCTATACTGCCAAATATTAAGAACCTAAATAAAGCGCCTGACTTAACAGAGTTAGTTATCCTAAGCATCCTGTGTAGACAGGGAAGAGATACATGCTGCTTCAGAGGGTAATTGCAGTCTGTGCTGGACTCCCACTCTTGAGTCATGCTAAAGGGATTCATCTCCCAGCTTAGGCATCTAAATTGGATGCCTCAAGATAGATACTGTGAATACCTCAAACACTATGTATTTTGTTTTTCTTTTATTGAGTCAAAGTTTTGGAAGTCTATTTTTCAGATGTTTTGCAATGAAAATAACTGCTGTCATCATGAGAACCCTTCTGACTATGCTGATGAACAAGTTCTCCTAACCTCATTTTTCCAAAGTTGGGGTGTGGAAATTCCACAGTCTTTGTTCTGCCAGAGTAGAGTATAATCCAGTAACCCTAGGCACCTGGATAGGTGCTACTACTGATCTCAGAGAGCAGATGAGAGAACAGAAGGTGAACTGCACATCAGGAATGCAGTTTGCTTCACATACAAATTTTTATAATGGAAACAATGCTTTTACTACCATGGTAATCAACAGGTGATTGATTCATCATGGTAGGTCTATGAAGAGCTTACATTTCGGATCTTTGATTTCTTTCTTACGTTAAAATGCAAAAATATTTTATTACCATTAGCTTACCATAGCTCCCATGCAGTAGGAGCGTAAAAAACACTCGCTGTGTTTGTAAATACATCAGACTAACATCCATCATCGGAAAGTTTATTTGCAGTTGACAGATTTTGTATAGTTATGCCAGCTTATCTTTCACAAGCTGAAATACATAATTAAATTCTGAAATATCAGAAAGTCAACAAGAATTAAATTGGAAGCTGTATAACTTTGAAACTTTTTAGTCATGTCAGCTTCCATAAAGTAGGTTTAGAGCACTAAATTAGAATGCTGCTGTTTCTGCCATTTCAGTGTGTTACACCTTTTTTAGCAGAGTTTCAAAAATGCGATCAAAAACGCGATCAAAAACATGATATTATTTGGAGGATGGCCTACTATTTGAGCTAAATTTAGACTGGCAGATATTTAAATGAAATTTAGCATTTCAAAGTTTTTTGAAAATATTTTAAGAGTATTTAATGATAGAAATTAATATGGGTTTAATTTGTTATACTTTTGATTTTAAAGAAGCTGTTAGAGGAAAAGTTAAATTCTGAGGTGATTGTCCTCTGAGTGGTGCTTTCTAAAGCAGCATTGATGATGGAGGAGTATCAACTCTAAAGTAAATCTGATTTTAACAAAAGGGTTGAATACTGTGATGTGAAGGATTGTATTAAAGTAGTGAGTGGAACTGTGGTTTCTCTTGTACTGGATTTTTAATTGGACTGATGAGTTGTAAACGTTGCTCTGCAGACTGAAAACAGTTCTTTCTTGGTTAACACAATTTTGAGATCAGGAAACATCATATAGAAAATTATGTTGGACTACAGGCTTTACTGGATAAGTAATGATTGCATTGTTAGCGAAGAGAGTTATATCTTGGAGGCTGGAGACTGAAGAATTAAAGTGAGCACTATCAAAAGTTCAGCCGAGTAAAAATGTGTGAAGGAATTGAAAGGAAATAGTTAAATGTCCTTGGTCATTTACATTTTTTTAGAAGAGAGCATAGATTTAATAAGGTTCAAAGGATGAGAGAAAGAAGAATAAGATACAGCCATCAACTGAGTGAATGTCTTGCCTTTATTTTCCATAAAGATGTAGCATTGACTACAGGAACAAGGGCAGGATAGATATTAGAAAAAAATTACCAAGTATGGTGTGGAAACAAAACGCAAAGGTCTTCGAGTTCACATTGCAAAAACCAGATGATTTCCCTTTCATGACAATGAAAGAACTGGCATATGAAGTTGCTGGTCGGGTGATAACTTTTTTGATGAGTCTATTAAAACAAAGATTCTGCCCTGTAAATGTAAAACACAGGATTTGCATTTCGTAAGGGGGAAAAATGATCCATACCTCCCAGAGAAGCCACTTGACCTCAGTCATACCCAAGGCTTTGAAACAAAATTTGGTGGGAAACTATAATTAAGGTTGTGGATTTAAATGAAAATAGGGATAAAACGTGATATGGATTTAGCAAAGACAGCTAGTTGCAAATTAACCTTGTATCTTTATTTTCAACAGTAGGATTGTGCTAGAATTTATATATATGTGGTATTCAGAAAAGCATTTGATGCAGCATCACAGGGGCAATTACTACTTAAATCCTTGAAGACAGGAATTAATGCAGCAATTTTAAGAATGAATACTGGAGTGCTTTGCTGAAAAATCAATCAGTAGGAATTAGGTGGGAAGTCATCAGTCCTAGGTCTTGGGTCTTGTCATATTTGGTATTACATTTAACATTAATGGTAAAAAGTTTGAGTGTGCTGGTTAAATTGCGCTGGCATACAGTGAGGAGACATTGTCAATGGGGGTGGGGGCAATCAGGCTCTCAAACAGAGAAATTGGATGATCTCAAGGTCCAGAGTGACTGAAATAAGGTGATATTGAAGAGTAAAGGGAGGAACATCTGATATAGTCTTTTTGATATCTGGTAAAATCACACCAGAAATATTAAAAACTGTTTGGATAGTCCATGTTCAAGAAAGAACGTAAACTGGTTTTGAGTAAACTTAGTTTATGAATTGGAAGAAGGCTTATAAAGTGAGTTTCTACATCAGCCTTCCATTAATGAGGACACAAAACCTTGCCTCAGGATGAGCTGTGTTTACAGAAGACATTTAGATGTCTTCATTGAGAGCCACAGGTGTTTGAACTCAATGATCCCTGTGTTTCTCTTTTCTAAATGCAAAGATCAAATATGCTGCGTACTGAAACCAAAAATAATGTGTAAATGTCACTGTTGACAAATTTATCAGAAGATTCAACAGCAGACAAACTGTATTTTGGCTCAGATACTGTAATTATGAGATGCTGCAGGAAATTTGTTCCACTAAGGAAGAAAAGAAGTAGTGTAATTCCCAGAAAATAATATCTAGTAGCATGAAAGCAAGACTATGTTAGACAAAAAGTATTTCGGAAATGAATGCGTCTTACTTTTCTTCATTATCATCAAAATGTGCCTAGTGAAGTACTGTGATTATTTGAAATAAAACCTTAGAAATATGGAAATTGTTGCTAGCAATTAAATATTTTGTAGCAAATACACACAGGCTAACAAGCAATGAATTGCTTCTGCCTCATTTTCTAATATGAATTCACTTTGCTCTCTTTCCTTTTTATAAGAAACATCGTTCAAGATAAAAATGACATCAAATTGAGAATTTTCTGTGGCTCTTTTGGAGAGATGAATCATAAGCAGTGAGCTGTCTGTTTTGTTTGCCATTCTGAATTCAGCTTGCTGTCTCGTCTCTCATCTCTGTTTAAAAAAAAAGTAAATCAAGAAAAAAATGACAACATGCTTCTCTGTAGCTGTGAACGGAAAGCAGAAGCAGTCAGTCTAAATGCCTTGTTTTTTACTGTTCTGGAAGTGCTTCTCTTCTGCAACGGGGATGACAGATAGTCTTTTTTTTAAACGTCACTGCAATCAGATATATGGGTGCAGCTTTGCTTTACCGCAGCATGATGCAGTTGTGTATAGTTCAGCGTGCTGTTCTTGGGAACGGACAGAAGGAGAGCAGCTGACCAGAGTATGCAGAGGATATTCATTAGAGGGGTTTTTTTCTAAAGAGACTGGTACGTGTGAAATTCCTTCAGCTGCAGAAGAGGCGTTTGCAGTGGGGCTTCAAGTTGATACACTCTGCTCGCAGGAGGAGGTGCACACACTCAGTCTGTCAGCTTCTAATGGAAAAAAGCTTCAGACAGGCAGACGGCACGTTATTAAAAGGCCAGCTCAGACACCCTTCAGGAAGATATTCTAACTGTGTTTATGGAACAAGTGCTGTGGTGCTGCGTATGCCTTAACCAACCGGGAGAAATGTGCCCAGTTGTGGAACGGAATCAATGAAAAGACATATCGAGGGGTTGAGGGAATAAAATACACGGCGAATAAAATTAAGTACGAGCCCTGAAGGAAGAGCAAAGGACAAAATCTCACGGTGTGGTTTTGTTGTTGTTGTGGAGCTTTTTTTTTTTTTTTTGTCACGCTTACCTACCATGAACGGAAGAAGTGGATCTGCAGAGACTTCATTTCCTCCTCTGACCCCTCGTTTACATCACTAACTGGTGACAGTTACATCTCCATACATAGTACCTGCCACTTCAGCTGCTCAGAATTATAGAAGCCTCTTTGTATGCAGCAGACATGGCTAGCCAGCAGGATTCAGGCTTCTTTGAAATCAGTATCAAATATTTACTGAAATCCTGGAGCAATAGTGAGTAGCAGAAGAGTAATCTTTTCGTATTACGCATTGCTTGGTAAAGAGCTAGGATAACCTAGAGAATAAAACCTTGTATTTCTGTATGCTTGTGTTATATAAACCGAGTAATTTTTGCTTCCGTCTGCTCTAAAAATCAGAATGTCAGAGATTTAAATGGGTTTCATTAACTGCAAAGACTGTGATGAGATTATACTAGATTTTGCTTGACTGAATTCTCAAGTTAGGCTGCTTTCTGGCTCTCTGTAACAGTACATTGCAGTGAGTGCATTCCAAACAGCATTTCCTGCCTACATGTTTATTTGATCAGGCTTTATCTAAATATGTTTGAAATGCTGCTTAATCGCAAGGGTGTGGCATTGCTCAGAAGGTGATTTTTATTAATTGTGCATTGAGGACAAAAATAATGGTTATACTTCAGGTCTGAAAGTCATTATTTTAATGTGATGAAAAGCAAAACATCAGTTACTTATAGCTGTACTTCCCACCCTCTGTGCTTAATTTCAGAATCTTGTGCAATATTTCCATCTAGAAAGAATCCATCTGTTTATCTAATCCAAGCTGGGTTTTACAGAATGTAAACAAATGACATTTCAGTCTCCCTTGGTCTTTTCAGAACTGCTGTTCCCTGATTTCCATTGCTGTCTAAATCAATCACACTTCTGATTTTTAGCAATATTATGTAATATGAGTTTCTGTATTAAAATAGTATTTGCAAATAGATTCAGATTAGGTAAGGCCATTGGATAATGCTGGTACAATTTTGCTTTTTTCATTTAAAAAACATGAATATGATATTCCTTTTCCATACTAGCTTATATTAACAGGATTGGCTCTCCATAACAAATTGTCTTAAAAATATAGAACACAATGTCTCTGGAAAAATCCAACTTGGTTACGTATGCAGTAATGTTCTGATCATCCCAGTATCTATAATTTAATAGCTTCTGCATGAAAGACTAGTATTTAGAGATGCTATGGTATAAAAATTTGTACCTTTGCAAAATCTACCTAGTGCTAGGCATATATCTGAATACCTGCAAAGAAGTAAAAATAATTCTGTTAAATATATTACATGCTAGGCTTGTCTTCATTAAATGATATCCATGGAAACTGTATTTTTCCAGGTCATTTGTATCCTCAGTAACACTGTAGTGCTTATTTGAATCTGTTTTTCGACCACAAGTGTGAAGTCTCTAGGGAATAATACTATTACCTAAACAGCATAGCTTGATTTGCCCTAATTATAAAATAATTTGTGTAGATCCATTACATTTCAAATCAGTGGTATTGCAAGGATTGCAAGATAATTTCATGACTTATTTACCTTTTGGACTAATGTTAATCAAATAATGAAAACATAAGTGTGTATTGTGACAGCAGATATTTTTATAACTAGTTAGTCACAGTTTATGACAGAAGAAAAACAAGTCACTTCTGTGGTGCAGAAATCAAATCAGTTCTGGCATTATTTTTACAAAATATTACTGTAACTTTAATGCTGAGTAAAACTAGCACATAAGAATACAATAATTACTTTATTTTGAAAATAAATGTAACATTAAAGTGTGTAGAAAGTATTTTTAAACAGCAAGGGCATTTCTAGCCTGAAATTAAAAGTCCTTAAATGAAAATCTGAATTGTTTTAGAAAAATAGAACTGATATATGAAAAATCATTATTTCTGACATTCTTTTAGCAGATAAACATGCTTTCCACTGCATTTAGCTTAAACAGTAAGATGAAATACGATAAATTAATCCAGATTGATTTAAACTTGTTGCCAGTTTTTTTTTCCTTGCAGTCTGGAGGGCTGTGTTTGGAAATCTGTACATAGCCTTTCTAGCTGAAAAACAAACAATTTGATAAGAAGACAGTAGGGAGTTCAAAAGACCTAGGGCTTTCTTCAGCTCTGTTATATGATGGGTGGAGCAGAGGAAAACACTTCCCTTGCTTGAAAAACTGCTGTGAAGCCTGCACATGCATGCGCAGGAGCATGCTTTTCAGAGAATAGGTGCTGTTTCTGCATACCCAAGAGCAGAAGTAAGCTGTAAATTATGCTGGGGCATTCACCTAGTAGAAGGAGTTTTAACATACTGTTTTAAAAGAAATACAAGTATAGGTGCTAGAGTATATATTTTGCTGCAATGGTAATATTCATAAAGGTTCTATTCATAAATTTTTCTGTAAATTGGCACTTTAAAGCAGTAGCTTCAAGCTCTCTGTTTGTTCTTTCTGGGCTTTATAGTTCGATTGAACCAATCCTTTCTGTTGACTTGCATTTTAGTTTATACAGAGCATTAACATTTTCTGATAGGTTGCCTAGTGCACCCTTTGCCCATTCTGTACCGTCAAATATCCTCAGGTATTCCATCGATAGCACTTTGGACCAGTTTTGCTCCCTATGGTCTTCCAAATGCTACTTGCATTCTTGACATACTGGGCAGGATTTCAGTGCAGTATCACAGAGCACTTTCAAAGGTGTTCACCTAGTGTGCTTACTGCTTTACCATGTTCATCAGCCAGCTAAGAAGCTGGGTAATTTATGTGCACAGGAATTGGTTCATTTTAGGTACCTGTTACCATTATAATCAGGGTCATACACTCCACGGTGTATTCTAAGTAAGCATGCACTCCTGTTGCTCTTAGGAGAAAAAAAGGGTATGCTCATAGTCTGGCCCTTGAACCATCCCACCAAACTGAGAGACCTTGATATACTCCTGTGTGCAGCTCTCTGTAAAACAGACTTGTGCACTGCACATGCCAGTAAGATACTGTGTACCTTTTGCAGTTCTGGAAAATATTCCTCTAATGTGTTGGGAGATAGGGTAAGACTTGGAATTTTCTAGTTGGAAAATAAGAATGTTTTTTTTTTTAACTGAACTTAATTGTATTCTGATGATTTTTTTTAAATGCAAGTAGTTTTGACCAACTCTGCATTAGCCAACAGTATAAATTATATTAATCATGCACTGCCAGCTTGGCTGAACATGGTTCAAGTATAAAAAGAAAAGTACTAGACTGAAGATACATATTTCAATATAAACACATACTTTTTTTTTTTGAAAATACTGCTAAAATGCCTATGGGCTATGCTTACTCAAGATGAGTAGTACTCAGTCTCACTGAGATCAGTGAGAGAACAAGAATAAAATAGGACTCAACCACAAGTAGGGCTATTAACAGCCTTCTCCTTATTTCTGTTACTAAAGTATCATAAAACACATTTTTAAAGAAATATTTGCAATTAAAAGAATAACACATAATTCAATTTCACTGAGAATTTTAATCTGCTCTTTCCC